GGACATTGTTAGCCTAATAAATAGATCATCATATATTTTATAAAATGATAAAGAAAATGTAAACACTTAACTTTTTGTAACCGTGACCATTTCACCTAGAATTTAATCACTTCTCAAATATGTACCGTTCCACTAATTTCTATGATGGTTCATTCTGTAGTTTTCACTTAATCCTGTGATTTTTTGGAATTCCAATGACTTTGACCATCATTTTGATCTATTAATCTCAAAATTTGGTCACCTTCTCCTTATAAATACACTCCACTAAAGTTTATGATGATCCGTTGTTTTTACATACTCATACAACAAACAGACAAATAGACTGAAAAATAGTAAATCCATACGGTAACCTGGGGGAGGTATAATAATAATAATATTAGTAGTAATACTATAGCAGCAGTAGTATTTTAGTAATAATAATAACAACATGAATTTGGTGATGCTCAGGACAGTGATTATAAAAACAATGACATTGAATTCTGGACACATCACAAGTAACATCATAATAAAGACTATCAAACATAAAATATGTAAACCAGAACTTATTGAAACAACGTGTAATGAGCAAAATGAGATGAAAATGTATATATTAAAACAAAATCTTATAACATTATTTTATTATTTCAGGAACACAGTTAATAGTGCCACTGGTTGTGTCTGGTATTTTTAATTTAACTATGCTGATATTAATTGTGGTTTACTTGAAATCATCGTGTACCAGTAAGTGGCTTTCATGATCTAAAAAGAAAAGCAATTTGTTTCGTTATGCCTCTACAATATTTTTTGAATCAATGTAAACATTCAGTTCTAACTAATTCTGCTATGAGTGGTAGATCTGGGATTTGAACCAGCACTCCTAGTGTACATAAAACACTTTAACTAAGGAACACTCGAATTCCTTAGATGGGTAGTATCAACACAGTGCCAATGTTGGTGATATATATTAATTGATTTCTTTCAGCACAAGCTTTTATTGTGAGGATATATTCATGAATATAAGTGTTAGTGTAGCACATGAAACAGAAAAAAGATAGGCATAGTCGGTAGGATCAAAGCAGATTCTTTTAAAACCTCATACTCCTTTCCATTAGCAGCAACGTAACAGAAGAGTAATATAATAAAGAATTTAAAAAAAATAAAACACCTTAACTAAGGAACACTGAGATTCCTTAGGTGGGTAGTATTAACACAGTGCCGATGTTGGTGGTATATATTAATTGATTTCTTTCTTCATAAGCTTTTATTGTGAGGATATATTCATGAATATAAGTGTTAGTTTAGCACATGAAACAGAAAAAAGATAGGCATAGTCGGTAGGATCAAAGCAGATTCTTTTAAAACATCATACTCCTTTCCATTAGCAGCAACGTAACAGAAGAGTAATATAATAAAGAATAAATAAAAAAAACTCATCGGGACTCGAACCCGGGGCTTTTCGCATACATTCATGGCGAACGTCATAACCACGAAGCGTTGTGGTGATCCAATCGCCAGTATTTGAGTTCTTTCATTCGCATAACGTTACAATTCTGATATAGTATTAATATCGCATGTGACTAGACTGTCAGAGATCTTTGTGATCCCTGTTCTATTTTCAGATTGTGATCTCCAAATCTGGTACTTGTATTATATATGTATTTAAAGTATGGCTCACGGATAATATTAGCCCGAAGGTGTATCGAACATAACATCATTATGTTGTAATGATAATATTGATATTATCATCAATGTACTTTATTGATAATAATTATGTATTGTTTGATATTTGTTTTATATGCTTTTACTAATATAATTATTAAAAGTGGTGGTTCACCACATAAAAAAGAAAAACAAGATAGTCATAGTCGGTGGATCAGAGTTTAAAGTATGGCTCATGGATAATATTAGCCCGAAGGTGTATCGAACATAACTTCATTATGTTGTAATGATAATGTTGATATTATCATCAATGTACTTTATTGATAATAATTATGTATTGTTTGATACGGTATTTCTTTTATATGTTTTTACTAATATAATTATTAAAAGTGGTGGTTCACCACATAAAAAAGAAAAACAAGATAGTCATAGTCGGTGGATCAGAGTAGATTGTTTTAAATAAGTTTTAACCACATCGTAACCTTATTTTTCATGGCATCAGCAGATAGACAAGAAGTTAGCGGTAGCCGAGAAGAAAGGCTTCTAATGGTAGAAGTACAAATTGGTAAGAAAATAGTCTAACACTCTCATATATTGTGCTTTTCTCTCTGACGAATGTGTTTTTATCTTTCCTAAGGGATCACCTTGGCGGGAGAGGGAGAGGGGGTCCTGCCCAACTGGTGCCATCACTGTATGCGGGTACAAAAATAGTATGACACTCACCTGAACAAATAAGCATGCCAGTGTACATGCATCAATCTACATCAACTGGTACTGGTATTGGTATTGGATTAGGCATTTATAATGCGCCTCTTCCTTGCGGTTATAGCGCAGTTCTTTTCCCTGGTCATTGGTGCACATGCTCTAAGTGTTCCTGCTGGTAATCAGCGCAGCAGCAGGCAACCCCCACCAGGTTGGGTATACAAACATCGTGGTTCTGAAATACAACCAACTGATTGGGGGGAAAAAAAAAAACAAAAAAAAAACAAAAAAAAACATGTGTTGCAAACTGCTAGTTAGGCCTATGATGTCTTGCATCTCATTCTTGTTTCATATTCTCAAATAGGTTTACATTGCATTTTACTGATATCTCTTTATAGATATAGGCATCAGTGACCATGTCATCGAACTATTGGTTAATAAGATAGGCAAGGATTACCATACTATTGGAATCGCTTTGGAATTGACTCAAGAACAATTAGAACAAATTGATATGAACAACAAGCATGACGTTAGAGACGCTGTTCGAAGCATGCTGTTTGCAGCACGTCGAAAGCATGCTTCTAATAAACAATGTGAAGAGTTTATCAAAGCATTCAAAAAATGCAATAGACAAGATCTTACCGATATCATAATAAACGGTAAGATATACTGCACTGTACTAAAGGTATTGTTATTTCATTTTGTTACCCCTGAGATGTCAGTCTACAACAGAATGAAAGAAGTGTGTTGACTCAGAGGTGACTATTGACTAGGACGGAATTGGTCGAACTTTGCGTGTAAACAGCGTAAACACATTGTAACAGTGTATTGATTGTGTGAACACAATGTTGAATAATGTTAAGATTGTATCGACACTGTATCCATTCTGTGTACACACAGTGCAAACAGAAACTTTTAAAACCATTGCGTAATTGTAGGGACATTTAATCTATGAGTAGATATAGTGCCATGGATATAGATTGCACGTAGATGGTCTGGGAAATAGGCGCACTAGTCCGGTATTAGAACTCATTTAGTACTTAATTTTATACAATCGTTTAAAGGATTTAATGTGCTGATAACATGTAATTGTATATTACTCACGTATTATTCTGATTTTCTAACTTTACATGTAGATAATAATGCACTTCTATTGTGAATTAATTTCAGATGCAAAGGAAAGAGGTGTGGATTTACCAATTGCCACTCCAGAAAACGGAACCGATAAGTGTCTCAAATACACAACTGAGGAGTCAGAATAGCGTTCAACAAACCCCTCATTTTATAGTTGCTCATAGGCTACTTGATAACCACCGGCATCAATTCGATTTTGTTAAATTCTACTCATAATAAAAATGTCTCGTTTTGTAAATTATAAAATAAAATATCAACAGTAAATTTTATTAATAGCAACAGTTTCTTTTTCATTTACGAGTGACCTCTTTTCAAGAAAGGTAAACATATTATGATGTAGGCGGTGTGAGGTTTTTAAGATTTTTAGTTGTGCGTACTACTTTATTAGGCCACACAAATATCGGTGGATCAAATGACAGTTAAAAAAAACAACCCTAAACCACTTGCATAATTTATAAAACAATAATCATATGAAGTTAATATTTATTTTAATAGAGTAGGTCTATTCCGTCTATCGTTGCTTTACCAAAAACTATCCAACTTAACTCAACTATAAACTTAGCAGGTTGACCTAAATTTGAAATACTTTGTAAAATGTAGATATACATTGTTTTTTTTTTTCTTCATCTGTCAGGTTTGCTAAGTATTTTAGAGTATACTTCGCTTGCGCAGGTGTGCCCATGCTGTGGTAGTGTAATTTTTCTGTAAAATGGAATGTGTTAAGGTTCATTTTAGTTCATTTCATTTGACAGGGATGCCAAGTACAGTGTGAGTGTGTTTTATTAGGGAGTTGTTAATTGGACCTATATATGTTTAATGTAATTTTGACCCATTTATTTTAGATGTAGCATTGTCAACTAAGTACACAGTACATGTAAAACGCTAGTTTTGCAGTATAGGTCTACTCATGCTCCTATCATGAGCCTATCTTTAGTTTGTTTAGTACAAATGATTTGAATTTGATAATTTTAATGCTTTTTAGACTTTAATATTCTGTATGGTGCTATTTTTTATATACCTTTTATATGTAATTGACGGAAATATGTTGATTTAATGGTGATTAAATGAAACACACTTCAATAAGATATTTTTTAACAGGTATAAATTCTTACTACTGTTTATGAGTTCTTAGGCTACATTTAACTATTATTAATTATCTATACAATAATTTGATTTATTTAATTAACGCAGAAATAATGCAGGAATATAATTTACTGTAATAGATATATAGGCTTACACTTCATGCAATTAATTGCACATATATTTTTTTTCAGGAACATGGTATTAATGTAAGACCTATGTTGATTTTATTGCTTTATACTAAATACGTCTTCGTTTCATTTTATAATGTACGGTATATATTTTTTTTCATTCTTAAATTTTATATTCAATTAATTATTAATGCTCTTTATATTATACGTTTTGCTACGGCTTCTCCCTATTGTTTAACAAGCCTTTTAGGGTTCAAGAGGGTTTGTTTTTGTCAGCTGTTTTCGATTTTGTTGGTTCATTTTATACTTTTAGCTATTTTGACAAATTAAAAAAAATGATGTATTGTATTGTTTTGGTTTGGTTGATTATCATAGATTATAATTTACGACTGATGATTATGATTATTATCTGATTATTATGAAACTATACTAAATAATTTCATCAGGTTTCAAATATAAATATATGTATAATGTATAAAAATAATTTTTACATGAATATGTCTAATAATAATAATTTTATTTATATTCTATTTGATAATACACAAAACATTTGATTTATGTTTAATTGTTCTTTCGATTATTCCATTTTCTTAAATGCCTTGTCATTTAAAATATTAATCCTAATATTTTGTAATCTGACATCATGCTTTTAGAAGCTTTTTAGAGTTTTTTTTTTGTTGTTGCTTATTTTATTGTGTCTTTTTCATTGTTGAATGACACGCTTTAAAAACATTGATGAATACTATTTTAATGATATGATTTATTGATTGCTATATTATATTTGATATGATAGCATAGTGAGTAAATTTGAAGTACAGTGATTGGTGATGGTAATGAACTGCAACATTCCTAGGCCTATGGCTACTTGGTAATTATTTGTTATTTGTCATTCGTCCAAATAAAATAAACTAAAACCTTGATTTATATAATATTGTTTCGAATGTACCTCACTGTGGCCTATATTTAGAGCTCAGTTTTTCTATGTCTGGTAAAAATGCGAACATCCTAGGCTGTCTATCTC